CCCCCGCAGGCCCCTCGGACGACCGCGGCTGCTGCGGGGCGGCAGCTGGCCGCGCCGGCCGCTCTCAAACGCCGGCTTGGTGGCCTGAGCCACCTTGATGGCCTTACCATCCAGGGACTTGCCGTTCATGTCTCTGGCGGCGGCCTTGGCGTCGGCGGGGCTTTCGAAGGTGACGAACGCGAAGCCCCGGGACTTGCTGGTTTCTCGATCTTTCATGAGGAGCACCTCAGAGATTCGGCCATACTTGCCAAACGCGACCTCTAGGGCTTTCTCGTCGGTTTCGGGGTTGAGCCCCCCAATGAACAGCTTCCCCGGGCGATCGGCTTCCACCATGGCGAGCGGTCGAGTGGGCAGCAGCGGCGGGAGTCGAGCGGTCTGTGGCGGAGCGGGTCGGAGGATCGGCACCGGTCGCTGCCTTCGAGTATGTTCTCCGAGGGCGAGGGCGGCTCCTACTGGTCGGGCTGCGCGTCGTCGCTGCGCAGGCGGAACGCTGGGGTTTGTGCCTCCTGCGTCTGGTTCCCTCAGCCCGGGGGGCTGCTGCTACTTGTGATTGGCTGGTGGGCCCAGGAGGGCAGGCCCGTCGTCAGGGAAGGGCGACTGTGTGCGACTGCATTTCTGGTCTCGGAACTGCGACGTCGTAAGCCTGGCTTTGGCGTGAGGTCCTTTAATTCACCCATAAAGTCCTACTGCAAAATGAAAAGCCGTTAGGTTAAAAAAAAATTCCCATCACTCTTCAGGAGAAGAATGATAATGCATTCCAGTGCAAGTTACCCAAAGTTTTCAGAAGAAAATGAAATCGAAAACGAAAAATGTAATTTAAACGTTTAAAAATGGAGTTTGGGAATTTTTTAAGAATTCAGTTTTTTGGGTTTTTTTGACCCTGGCCAAAGGGGATGAGACGACTTGATGAGGGGTTGGTTGGCGGGATGCATCAACCCCGCCCCACCACCACCCTACCTCCACCTCACATTTTTCGGCGTTCAAAATGCTTATGGTTATAGCCTATTGAAACTCCCTATTAAAGGTATTGCCCAGAATGGCACCTCTATGGCAAAATAAACACCAGAGCAGTGGGACAGTCGTGATCCAGTATCGTTGAACACACGCCTGGGCTCTTCTGAAAGAGGCGGCACACCTCCGCAAAATAAAACATTTTGGGTCCTTTCAAACTAATTCCACAGCTCTAATGTGTTCTTTACGGAAGCCTCAGAATAAAGTCAGGAAGTGTGCAGAGTAAGCTAGTAAAAGTATTCTTGCTTGAAATTGCAATGTTTAAAACCACTGTTTAAAACTATATTATTTGGAGGCCGATTTTCAAAAGTGGTATGAATTTTTAAAGACTGCAGATAGTGAAAAGTTAACTGAACAGCCATGAGAAGTTCAGTTGCGTGAATCTACATATAGTTGTACAAGTATGGGGTACCTTGATTTATTGTAATAGCTTCTTAGTGTTGAAAGAAGTCAAGCAAGCAGGTATTTTTCTGATGCTTTTGACTTTAAAATAGGGACCTCAAGTGTTAAGACTTGTTTTACTGTGGTTGAAAGAAGCTATTGATGCTGCAGTGGTGGGTTTTGATTCCCTGTTTTTAAAAATTGTTTGAATATTAATTATGAATATTAATTGTGCAGATATAGTGGCAATTATATGGATTTGTACAGACATTATTTCCACTGTGGTGAATAAGCTCAATAAATGTTATATCCTAAACTAAAAAAAGAATTTTTAAAACACCCATGAATGGGAGTTAAAGCTAACCCATCATCTCAATTCATGTGATGAACTGCAGCAATGTTTTTATTATTAAAACACCAGGGCATTTCTAAATTCAACCTACCTTTTGGGGATGTATTTCTCTTTAAATATAATTAATACTTTAATTGATTAACTTTGCCTACTCAAACTTCAAAATTTTTACATTTCTGAATATAAAGGGTATTGATCCATAATTTTCTCTCCCCTACTAAGCTGGGGAGATGTTTGCCTAAATTTCTTTTAGTTTTAAGTCTATTCAAACTTAAATTTTTCTTATTTGCTTGATTTTTTGGTAAGCTTTTCTAAGAAGTTAATAATTCTTATCTAACTTTGAATTTTTATTTTGATAGCTGCACTATTTTGTTTTCTCTTTTCATGACCAACCTTGTCAGAAGATTCTTATCTTTTCAAATAACCAGCATTTAGCTTGCTACTCCTCCTGATTTTATTTGGTGCTATTGGGTTGCTTTCTTCATTTCATATTCTTTGGGTTTACAATTTGTATTATTTTTGTTCTAAATTTTAAGGTGTGACAATGCATTAATTACATTTCTTCCCCCTGCACACACACACACACACACACACACACACACACACACACACTGAATCATTCTGTTGGACATCTGAAACTAATATAATGTTATAGTCAATTATATCTTAATTTTTAAAAAAAGCTTCTTCAAATCGTCACATCCAAATTTAAAACATTCCGTGTCTAGTGAGCAGCACATACTGAGGTGTTTTCCTGGTTATTCGGTTCCTAACATTTCCTCATTTTCATTCTTTCCTAACCCATAAGTTATAACGAAGTATGTTTTTTTTAATTTTCAAACACGTGCTGTGTATGATGTTTTTGCTGAGGCTTTGTGACAGTGCCTGCCTGTTTTTGTGTGCACTGTTCTGTATATGTTTGAGAAGAATTTATTGATATATACTCTAAAGTTTGAAGTGGAAGTCTTTTCTCATTTTGTGAAGTTCAGTCTCCTCTATCCCGTTATTTTTTATTTGATAGAATTGTCAATCACTGAAAACTGTTTTTAATTTTTCCTATTTATTTTGGATTTGTTAATTGTTCTTAATTTTTATGTCTTTTTGCTTCACATAATTTAATATTATATTGGTAGATGTATAAAAATTGAAAATTGCTTTTTTGGTGGGTCTCTATAATGATCCTCATTAGTCACAATTTTTTTTTTTACTAAATCCGTTTTATCTGATATTTACATAGATGTTTATTTTTCATATTTCTGTCAGCTTATTATGTTATTGGTTATTAATAACCGTGCCTTTCCTACCTCTTATCCCCATTTTTCTTGTCTCTTCTTTTATCAAATGAGTTGCCTTTATTTATTTTACCTCGAATTATATAGAAGAAATTATGCCATCTATTTTGATGGATGAGTACCTTTGTTTTTATTGAGGGCTAACTTATAAAATCTAAGTTTATGAGTTTACTTATAAAATCTTAAATTTATTTTCTTGATCAATTTTGTATAGTCTTACATCATGTAACCACAACCCATATCAAAGTCTGTAACATTTCTATCACCCCAAAATTTCTTTTGCCTCTTTTAGAATAATCCTTTCTCCCAGAGGAAACCATTTTTCATACTTATCACCCCTAAAGAGCTTTGCTTATTCTTCAACTTTATATGAATGGAGTCATTTTTTTTCAATATTAAGATTTTTATAAGATTTTTAAAATAATATAGTAGTTTATTTTTACATCATTTTTGTTCCTTTTTCCATCCATCTCAGTGATAATCCCTGTGAGCGTCCCATCACCAAATCACCCATTTGCCGTCACCATAGTCCAGTGCATTCCCCTCCCCCACCCCGCCTATTTTTGATCATCATTCCCCACTCCACCCCCGTAAAATGTCTCTGGTATATATTTGTTCATTATTAACATTATTTTCTCCCCTGGTCCTTTATACTCCTGCTTTGAGTGAAACCATCGAGTATTTTTCCTTTTCTTTCTGGCTTATTTCACTAAGCATGACCCCTTCCAGCTCTGAATGGAGTCATTTTAAAAAATTTAGTTAAAGGTTATCACTTAATCACTGTTGTGTTTCAAAATTTTTCTCTTGAGCTAACAAGCCATGATTCTCAATGAAGCTTGTTTTTGTTTGTTTGTTTTTTAGTTTAAGTAAACAGAGTCTTTAAAGTAAAGAGGGTGGGTTGCAAGGACTGAGAAAAGATGACCAAGTTGATGTAGAGAGTAGCAAAACCATGTAGGAAGAGTACATGTCTTTACACCATCAGTCACTGAAAATGTGTCAGTAAAAGAGAGATCATTTTCAATAGGTGCAAATATAACTAAAATAAAAAAATGTAAAAGAACTTCTAAACCCAACCTATCTCTTAAAATGAAACATTAAGAGATAAAACTTCTAGTATATGAAAACTTGTACAAATTACAATCAAGCAAAAATATCTCTTATGGTGTGTTATTTTGGGTTCTAAAATTTAGCCCTCTGAAGTTACTTTTCCATTTTATTTTATAAAATCCATTTTATTTTATATAAAATAAATTCCTTTGTCCATGGCTTATTTCAGTCAGTATGGTGTCTTTGAGAGTGATCCATATATTGAATATAGCCATAGTCTGCTCTTTTTATTTGACCGGGGCTTCAAAGGAGAGGCTAGAGAAAGTACAAAAGAAAAAAATGGACAAGTAAAGAAATAGGAACAGAAAAAATGACCTCAGGGGCATGAGGAGAATGAAAAAAATATAGACAAGAGTAAATGAAAAAAAATTATTAATGACATGGGAACACAGGCTTGGACAACATATAATTGGCAGCATTATGATTTCTTAAAGACTCAGCACAGGGGCTGGGATTTACCAAGAGGGGACTTGCTGGTGGAAGCCAGACGAAATGTTGGCCTAGTCTCTGCAGTGTTCAGATTAGTAAAATTCACAGAATAACTAATTTAGGGTTGTTGTCTTTGGTCTTGAGTGCTGCCGTTTGGATTAATACAAACAGTTACAGATGGAAATACAGGATACAGACACTCTGCTGACAAGTCTATTTACTCTGAAAAGGGTTCTATCTGTCCCATAAATTACAGTGGAACACCCCACCTGGAGCAGCTGAGGTGCTGTGTATATTTGCAAGTCACATGCATCATAAGGCCACCTGCCAAAGATGGCAGTTCCCCAAATCACAACAAATATTGTGAAGAGGTCCCTTTTGATTGGGTAGTCATGCTAGAAAATCAAACAACAATCTGAGAAGCCTTCCAGAAGCTGTTGTCTTGGTTCCCTATCACTGATGGTACAAGTCTAATAAAACATTAATTAATATAAGGGAAGTCAAAGGAGAGAATCAAGAGTCATCTCCTAACGAGGTAGAAAGCTTCAGATGGTTAAGAAATGAAGTGAATAAAATTGGCATTACATATTTATAACAAAGATCTTGATAATAATGGAACCTCCTGCTAGTCCTTTAGTGTTAAAAGCCTCAAAAAAAAGTCTGCTCTATTTTCTCAAATTTTAGAGGAATCATAAAAACTTGAGGGTAAAGATCACTTGAGAATCCTGACCTGGAACTACCTAGGACAGATTACTTAAAGA